CAAAAGATGTTCTCCCACATATGACTTTTGCAAAAGCTGGAGTATTTGATACACACAATGGAGACAACAGCCAATTCAGTAGCACTCAGCCTTCTTGAGCCTGTATCCACACTGGCCATCCCAAGCAATAATCAATAACTTGCATTTACCTATATGAGGCCAGCCTAGAAAACAAGCATTTGAACAGGTCACGTAACTGTAATTTACTGCGCAAAGTTAATGTTTGCATAGGGCTTTCAAACAAATAAATGGCTGTTTACATAGCACTTTCATATAAATTACATGGCATAATATACCATATCAGAAATAAGTAAAAATGGATCATTAGTTTTCAGGTGGGACACACAAAAAAAAAAATAAAATCTTTATTTTCAACCACCGAGTCCTTTCAAAAAAGAAAAAAAGGGGAAAAAAACTATGATTCCTACAAATATAAATTGCCTTGATACGGATATACGTGAATCTTCCCTTTGGAAATCTCTCTATTTTCAGGTGTCTGGCCTCAGGGAAGTCTGGCTGACAAGCATCTTTCAAAAGCCAGGGAATTTTATCAGAGTAACAAATGTTCTGTTAAAGGACGTAAGATTTGAGATAAATTCATAGGAAGGCATTTTTGTCCTGGAAAACAAAGAAAGGAATGTCACTGCACTAAAAACATCTGATGTTTTATTTGGTTGTCTGAAGCAAATCCCACAGTTTTAACAACACAGAAGTCAATTTGGAACTAGTACTGACACAGGTGCATACGTACATACGAAGTCCATTCTTTCGTAAGAGGAGCCCACAAAATCCAACAGCAAAAGCTAGAAGCAAAACTGGGCCAGCTCCTAATGCAGACTGCCCAAACAAACAAACAGCACTAATTCTGCCATGGAAAAAGTACAACTGTTTTGGGAGTATCTAAAAGGAGCAAACTCCTGATGTGTTAAGAAACCCACAACAAAAGAAAACCTCAGTTCCCAAAGAGATTATTGAGATCACCTGAGTGATCTTTCACATAAAAACCCAGTAATCCCAGTAATCCCTGCTGTTATGCTTGAAGAATTAACCTTTCACTCAGCTTTCCTCTCCTCTACCAAGAAGATTTCATGACTCTACTTAGCCTCATTTGATGGGTTAGTTTTATTTTGGTTTTCCCCAAATCTACACAAAATTCTCCACTATATTTTTGTTAAGCTGTGGGCTTTCGGTCACCAGAAATAAAAATGAACTATGGCTTTATATACTGAGCACAGTGCGGTGTATTAAATATCTTTAATACTGCCAAAAGAGGGGAGAACTGAACGTGTGGTTCCATGTACTTTTGCACAGAAGCCAAGTAAAAGAAAATAAGTTATTTTTAACCTGGATCATTTCACTGATGTGATTTACAATGCAACCTTACAAACACTTGCACACAGCTAACTAGAAGGGATAAGGGACATGCAAATGAACAACCTTAGCATGCACTTCACTTGAAGAAAAAGGTATAACAGAATACCCTCACAGAATATCTAGATTTTTATGACCCAAATCCATTCAAATCTGTTAAGAGTGGCAGGGAGACAGAAATGCAAGTAGCTATTACTTCAGTAGCTATGTTCTGTTGTAACCATACCCAAAAAACATAACCTTTCAATCCATTTTGTATTCTTTAAGAAGTCATCTCCCCGTCTCCTAAGTTCCTAGTGCATCCTCACATATTCTAGTATTTTAAGTCGTAAGAGCATTATCTCTTTGCCTCCCAGCAGTATACCTTGCTTCAAGAGGACTTACTTGGAATGACAGGAAAATGAGAATACATATTGTGTGTTTGCCCCACCACTGGTCAGCTTCAGTGAAATTACTCCTGTACCTCTCCCTTTCTCAATGAGGGAAGAATAATGAATTAAAATTCACAAGACAATTAATCACAGCTCAATAAAGCTGACATGCATTTCTGCCTGTCACGTATTTATTTTTGCAACTAGGTGCAGCGGGAATTTACATAAAAGGTCACATTTTGCTAAAATCCAGTGATGTTCTCACAGCCACAAAGCATAAGAAATAGGGGCACCATGTCATACATCTGTTTTCATCAGCAAGAACAAGGCTTTTAGATGACACAAGATGAGTCACTAAGTCACTGGCAGCTGTCACAGTAGCCTACTGCTGCTTCCCAGGCATTCCCCTCACTGTTCTCATGCGCCTTTCAAAAGGCAAATTCCTCCATCGTGCTGTGGCGCAGGAGAAAAGATATGCGCAGAGAACAGGCCTTGAGGATGCCGACAGGGGATTCAGTGAAGAACTGGCCCCTTCCAAGCCATTGGGCTTTGGTTATACAGGAGCCTGCTGCAGCAGAGAGATGCCATGATCTCTGTTAATTTACACGTGTGAAGAAAACAAAGAACCAGACTCGGCTGCAGTGCTGAAACCCAGAAGTAACTCTTCTGAAGGTGGCAGAATGGCAGCTGGATTCAAATGGCTCTTAGTCTCTTCTGCATTCCTCACACGTTAGCTCTCAGCTACCATGTCACTCAAGTATCTTGTTAAAAAGAGGCCAGGGGAACCTTTCGCAGCATTTTTAAAAATACTCATTGAGCAGCAAAATATTAAGTCTAATCAGAAAATTCAACTTGCTGAATGCAGTGAAACAGATGCGCTGATCAATACCAGAGAGAAGCCTGCAAGCTCAGTGCTTTTTCAATCATCTTTCTTCAGCTAGATAGGGAAACCTGATCATCTAGCACTGGATCTCTCTATACATAGTTCATTATATGACAGATATGTTTTATTAATTTGTACTCCTAGAATAGAGATCCACGGAATTAAATATCCGGAAAAAGGTAAAACTTCTATGTGACTAGTGAATGCCTGATGTAAAAAATTTAATAGGATGATCAATTTTGGGAAGACAGAGCTGCAGTGGAAAAGTGCCAGATAGTAGCTATCCAGACAGCTCTGAAACTGTCTTTGTAACCAGACAAATAGGTAACGCCCACCAGATGCAGACATAAGCAAAAGAAAACAGAAAAGAAAGAAAACAGTGCCTGAGCGCTGCAAAGAGCTATAAGCCACTGAGCTTAACATTCATAACATACAAACTGGTAAAATCTAGACTAGAAAGAGAATGAAGAAACATATACATGTAAGTGGGATATATGAGGAGAGTTCTGCTATAAATTATAGTTATGCCTCAAACACCTCCTGGAATTCTTTGCAGGAATAGACAGATCTCAGGCAAAAAAGCTGGGTTGATACCATCTGATTTCCAAAAGGCAGTAATGAATAGCATCCCTCACCAGACTACTGAAGAAATTCAGGGGACATCCTCACATGCTGAGCAGCCATTGATGGGAGGAATCCATGACTAGGAGAATACCAGAAGGATCTGTGCGAAGCCTTGTAACATTTACTGTCACAGGGTCAGGAACATACACAAACAGGAAAGGGGGTTTAAAAATGAGCTAAAAAATGTGCCTGGTTATTCATAATAGAGGAACTAACAGATTAAATTCCCCATAGATAGGCAGAATTAAGCACAAGGGAAAAAAACAACACAGAAAAATACATCTCTTCCAGGGCTACGAAATACAAAAAACACCAGCTTTGGCCAACCACCTTTTCTTCCCTTCTCCTGACTTTAAATAAAGGACTAGCCTGTTCTTGAAAGAACTGAATTGATCAAAATCTTTGCAGTTGCATCTTGGCTTAAATGATGAAAGACCTTGGTTTTTAAAGGTTGAATTTATCCTTTGGAAATCTGCAGCCACTGTATGGAACAATACTGAAAGTAAGACAAATTCTGTTTTCTTTTTTAAAAGGCTGTTTCTATGAGTCTGTGCAAAGTACAGCCTGGACTGCTCTAGAAATACTAGATGTAGCTGTGCCGTTTAAAACATTGTTTCACTGAGGGATATATAAAAAAGTATACAGACACGTTAGTACCTGCAAGCATACTGCCATGAATGTTGCACTTTGGTTGAACAACCTATTTCATAAGCTTCTGGAGGGGAAAAAAAGTGTTTTAAGCTTTAACTCCTGTAAAAAGAATTTTTTCACTTTCTTTGTGTCGTCCCCCCCCCCCCCCAGGCTACTTTTAACTTTTGTGTAAGTGGTATTCATATACTTAAGCAAAGCATTTATACATATCATAATATGAAAACAAAACACAGGGGTTTTAAAGAAGTGCAAAGAGCCTTGTAATCTTTGAATAAAAATTGTCCTTCTACTTCATGCAATTAATCGTTTGCTTTCATTTGATTTTCTTCACACCCGTGTCCTCTCCTTAGCTGTGGACTATCCTCGACTGAGCAAAATGAGGAGGGCATCATGCAAGTGACTGTCACGACTGCTGTGCATGTCATTCGCTGATGACCCTGCAGAGGGTGTAGTTGCACAACGCACTGCTGCTTCTCCCCTGAAACACCATACTTCAGGGACACGTTCAACTTTGAAACCAAAAAAGATTGATTAATCTTTCTCCACTCCCCTCTATCACACTATTAAAAGTTTAGGACAGAAAAAGAGGACGCAGAGTTCTGAATCTCACCTCCTTAGGCTTCCAAAGAAGTTATTTAAATACATTCCCGTGTAATTCACCACTATGTTAACAACCTAGCGATAAAATAACTTAATTACAGTTTCAGTCAGGTCAGTATCTATGAAGAATTTTGTAATTACACTACATACAGAAATTTCACAGCAAAAGGCCTGTGATCCCTAAATGAAAGATGTTATTCCACTAATCAACCAGAGCAGCACTCGTGATGTGAGCCACTGCCACTAGCCAGACCTACATTTCAAGCAAATGCAGTCTAAATTAACAGCACACATGCAGGAATCAGCTATGATTAATGAAACAGGAAAAGAAAACCCACTAAGCTGAAACTGTATTTTCAAATACAGCATATTAGACAGTGTATCGGTAGGTCATCTATTATAAATCCAAGGAACAAACCCTCCTAAGTCAACATACACTATTTGGAAACAGATAAGAGTACTTCTTAGCTATCTCTTTACCAAACAGCATTCTAAATTACCTGAATTCATTTTTATGCATTTCAACTATTTTCTTCTCGAGCTTTTGTGACTGCTTGGGAAAAATCTTAAAGTCGCTGATGTAATTCTCTGGGTGTTCATCAGGATCATAATCACCAAGCTCAGCTAAACAGATCCAAAACACAAAACAAAACAGAAAAAGTTCAGTTGCAACATTAGTTAAGATGGAAAAAAAATCAATAAGTACAGTGTAATTCAAGACACTTCCATGATCAATAAGGATCTCACAAGAAATGCTACTTTAAAGAATTGATAGTTAACTGAAACAACAAAATCCTTATAACTGCCACTTCAGTCAATTAGTTTCAAGTGAAGTTCATGGTTTGTTAACTGCAGTGGTAATTAGCACTCCTAAACTGTTTCCTGTGGCAGAAACATGCTCTGTAAAACAGAAGCATAGGAGTACCCATCATTCTGGTACCAGGCAGAACTGCAACAATGCACTCCGGATTCTCCTCTTTTTTACACTAATTTATCCTCTGTGATATGGACTGATTTAATTCTGTTCTAGCAGAAAAACACAGGCTGTAACATGATTTAAGGTGGCCCACAGTATTTGACTCCTCTTCTAAAAGATGCATCACTTAGGTACCCAGACACAGCATCTGGGGTTTTAATTTTTTAATAAGGTATAGACTTAATACTGGTTTGGATACGCTGCCTTTAATGCATTAAGAGCTTAATTCATGTTAAGGCAGAATGAAGGGGACTTCCACACATATGAAGTCCCTAATCAGACATCTAGCTAACTATTTCTCTGCGTGCAATCCAACATATACACCTCAATTTGGTCCTAAGGAAATGATGAGGAGAAAAAGGGGGAGAATAAAAAAAAGGGGGGGAGCAAGACCTTTCTTCTCGAATCACCATCTTCTGTTTCTGTCTGTGATTCCATCATCACACATGTCTTTTTTACCACGAGAAACAGCACTGAATGACGCTTTCTCCTGCTTTGTTCAAACGGAATAGGCTACATTTACATTCAGGATCCAGAACAGAATTTTGCTTTGTTTATAACTGGAATCTAACATTGATGCCATACTTCTTCACTTAAATGCTAAGACAACCTGTTGTTTTAGAATTTAAGTTCCAGTTTGGTTTCAGTTGACTAAATGGCTGAATTAATTAAAACACTTTGCAGTGCATGTCAATGCAGAGAAACAGTACCACTGAAAAAAATATACATTATTGGTAGCTATATTCCCATAACGGTTTTGAGTTTCTCTTTCTACCACACACACCTATGAGTTAAGTATTTTAAAAAGCCTGCTGCTTGTACTTACCTTGGACAATACAGGCACCCAGGTAGGCAGCATCAGAAAAAGAACACAGCAAACGGCCATGGAAAATGTCCCTTTTTATTTGTAGATATAAGAGGTATCTGAAATATAATTAAAAAATTAGGAAATTATGTGGCATCTTTTTATAACAGATTTAACTTATCAGTGTGAAACCGGTTGTGCAGCTATTCTGGTTCTCTTTCTTGCTACATTAAATGGCAGGAAAAAGAGGTAAAGTGCAACCACAGGAAAACCTAGATGCAAGACAAGAGATTTTTCTCAATAACAATGAAATAATGACAGTAGAAGTAACAAAAAGCCATTAAAAGATAGCATAGGGAGTACTTTATTTAAAATGTACAGCTGTTAAAATGCTCATTAGTGACGTGAGATAAATTTACAGTAATATAAGTTGGTTTGAGCACACCCCCTCTCATTAAATACAGGTTTACACAACGAAACCTCTCTGTCGCTGTAGACAAAATAGCCCATTGACCACAGTGAAGAGGATTTCTTTCCTTGTCTTTATTAAGTTTTAAAGTTTTGAGGTGGAAGCGACTCCCTGAGTGCCAAGGGGACAGCGGTCACAGGGGACCTGCCTGGGAGGAACCTCTCCCGTTCCTCTCAGAGCTGTTCTTCCTCTAGAAGAACTGCGGAGAAGGAAACAAAAGGCTCTTTCCACCTGCCCTCCACCTCCTACCATGGAGGAGCGTTGTTTCTTATAGCAAGAGAAGAGGCACAGCCATCGCTTTCTCTTTTGCCTTCTCTTTCTCCCCCGGAGAGCAGCCTCCCAGGGACGGACCGACTCACAGCCCACTGACTCACTTTCCCAGCCACCCAGCTGGTTTTTAGCTGCACCATTCAGCAGCTTCACCGCTCTGGGAAAATAAACCATTTAAGCATGGCTTTAGCCAGATAACGTCAACTGTCTAGAGGGTGCTATCAGCTCAAACTCACTGGCTTCTGCAGACCTTCAGGACATCACTTGGTGCTGCCAGTCCTCTCCAACTTTGAGCTACAGTGTAGCCGACGAAAATGTGCTTTATGAATAAGATATCAGACATATTTTGCCCAAGTTACTTGGTTCTGTGTGTACCACGAACTCGTGCACCAAGTAGCTTATCTGAAGCTTACAGGGAGTTCTAGATTTGAGCAAGACTGTAAGTATTATCTAAAGGGCAAAAGAAATTTTCCTCCTTTCCTTGGACTGTTACTAAATGCTACATAAAGATGAGACAGTTATCACAGAGCAAAGCAATTTGTTCCCATTGTGAACATATCCCTTCACTATGCTACAGTATTAAAAGTTTCCGGGAACTTTGCACTTCAAGGCCTTTTTTTTTATTTATTTTGCAACCCTCTCCCCCCCCTTTTTTTTTTTCCTGTGATCAGTGTCCAGTAACAGCTCACTAATTCACTTCCATAATTTGGTAGTGCTACAGCACAGGTAGTTCCCCAGAAAAAAAATCAAACAGTAATAAAGATAGGTATTACACTAGTTTCTTGGTTAAGCCTGTTTGCAATACTAAACTACCACCATTTGTAAAAAAACAAACAAACAAACCAAACAAACAAAAAAAAACCAAACCAAAAACCCAAAGTTAGCTTCGTTACAATAAAAAATAATATATACTCTTTTAACCTAAATTGTCAATACCCGAAGCTAATAAAAAAATGTATTCCTATGCATTCCCTCCAGCTAAATCACTGGCTCTGCAAGTTGTTCAGAATAAAAAAAACCCCAAAACATCAGAATTCAAAAATTGCAGAAAATTGCCATTATAATTTTTCCATAACTTCAGAATAACACAGTTTTCATTGTCTTGTCTCCCTAACATACCAGGGACAATTTCTTCTCTGTAACAACTGGGAAAACACAAATACATATTCAATTTTTGCTGAGAGGTATGTTAACAGAAAATAAATAAGAGTAAGCAGCGCATATCTAACCAACACAGCCCCTAAGATACAATTTTAGGGAAAAGCACATCAGTGCCTCAGAGCTGATTTCTTCCCAGTGGTCATCCTGTGATGACAGAGCTGACCACAAGCCATCGTGTAGGCTAGCTAACGTCACAAACGTGGGCCATCAATGTTATTCATTTGTCTGTACTTTACAATATACAACCCCTAGCACTTGCTAGTCTGAGGAAGAAGTTTTTTCTTCCTTATATGAAAGGGGGTTTCTTGATGCAGTGTTTCCTTGGCTGTTTGGGGGGAGCAAGGGGTGTCTCTTAAATTATTCACATACCTCTCTATTACACTAATAATTTTGTAAATAAAAATACTGAAGTTTACTTTTTCTATCACTCAGGTTCTGTGTTACTGAGCTGTGGCATGCACTTGACCATTGAAATCCTTAATCAAATGGTTCAAAGAACTATTAAATTTCTAAGGCAAAGAAGAAAAAGAAATCTACAAGGCAGAAGGCAGCATTCAAGAGGGGAAAAGAGGCACAGAGCACAGTTCACAGTGAAGATTGGAGAAATTGTTGGCTGGTACACAAGGGAAGCACTTGCACTTACAAGAAGGGCAGGGGAATATCCATGCAAAGCAGAACCAGAGAGTTTGGATGTGTTTTTCGGAGACCACCTACACAGCAAGCTGCATGGGATACTGTTCATCTTCAAAGCAAGAAGGGCAATCTGGAACAAGACTAAGACATTTAAGGAGTTCTTTCCAATGAAGGAGATATATGCTCCTCGGACTGAAAGCCAACGTTGCAAGCTTTGCCAAAGGTTGGCTCAACGTCAGACACTTCCTATAATCCTGATAATGTAATTCATGTCCCAGGTCAGCAAAGACCTACGAATGCATATCTGGTTCCTGAATTCAGTAAAGTTTATGCATGTACTTAAAATTGCCTACACTTATGGAAATAACTTCCAAAATCACATCTGATTTTGCTGCTTCTCGTGTCCTTCCACCACAGCTGTTTTTTTTCCAAGCCCTGGTACAACTTTATATGTCTGATTTACAGCCCTAAGGACTCGGGCTTACCAGCAAGCTAGTAAATGTATGCTTCAGCGCCTACACTCAAATGCCTATCACTGGAATAACCTCATTTCCATCTATTATCTGTTTGCAATACAGATGACTCAACTCCAGGTTAGCCAAGCCCTTCCCGCAACTGCAGATGAAGGGTCAGCAATATCTATTCTTGTTTTCAAGCAGGCTTCATGACCCCCAGAGACTATGTTGCTAACTGCTTAACAGTCAATTTATTTACCTATTTTAAGATGTTCAACGAGGCAAGCAAGCTTTCCCACAGCCAAACTTTGTGGTTTGTCTACGTAGCGTTTTTTTTCTTGTGTTCAAGTCACTTCACTCATTTTATTCCAGTAACAAGCATTTCTCCCAGTGTTGTCAAACCCTTTCCAGCTGACAGACACGGTCACCTCGAGATATCCAGCAGTGTTTTGAAAATTGTTATCTCAGCACGGTGTCTATCTTTGACTGCACTGCTCCTTCCTGTGCTGCTGAGCATACTCAGGTGCAGAGCAGCAGAGGACAAATGCCCGTGTTTACAATATGCCTCCATTGGTTGCCCTCCTCCCCCAGCAGAATTTATGAGTTCTTTATGTATATTATTCTGGACACTGACTTTGCACTCTGTCTTCTACAGTAGGTAACACCAAGTGCACTGCGGGAGCACTAGTTTGCTGCCAAAGTCTGTGAATCTAACCCAAACACTACTACACATTAGTATGTAATATCACAACTAAGAGAACATCTTTTCTGTGCTTTACAGTGCCACCTAGACAACAAGTCTAACAGAGATAATAATTATATTCTCTAAAAACATATTGCTGGTCTACTTACTAATATTTGAGAAGTATTTTGATATCTTATAAGCTAAAGAAAAGCCACCACTCTGTTAGCTATTGATAAAACACAGAGTTGACAGATAGATCTTGGAGGCATTACAGACAAGTCTCTGAAATCATCAACTCAGGGTGCAGCAGCAGCCAAAAAAGCCAATAAAAGATTTAGCATCATCAGGACAGATATTGTGAACAAGACAGAGGGCCACTTTGCCGCTATTTAAAGCCCTGGTGTAACCACATCTTGAATGTTGTACCTAACTCTAGCCTCTGCATCCCAAGTAGGACATAGTTGAGCTTGACAGAGGAGACCAACTAGAGTGAGAGTGCAGAGCCTCCCTTACAAGGAGAGACGGTGATGAGGGGGAATAAGACCAAGTCTTATGAGATCTTGAGGGCAGTGGGAAAGGCAAACACAGTACTGCTATTCAGTGAATCCTGCAATACTAGAGATGGGGAAATCAGGAAATCGCTTAAGGCAGACGAAAGAAAGAACCTTTCCCAGCAGGCAGTGAACTAACTGCCTCAGGAGGCTGTGAACAGTATTACTACATCCAAAATAAAAGAATGATTAGACAAATTCATGAGCAACAGATCCAGAAAACAATGCTAAAATGAACAGGCAGGAATGGAACTGTTAAAATACCTAACACAATAATTATATGAACCATTTAATGAATTTGGGTGAGATCATCTATTTGTTTTCTTGTTTTTCTGGAACAATACAAAAGTTTTATTCACACTGGCGTGGGTTAAACCCATCACAGCATTTGTAAAACAGATATACATGGCAATAAACATGCCGCAGTGTTGTTAGGACAGCAGTTGCCCTTTCAATCCACCTAATCAGTCATAAGCCAAATTCTAGCAGAGGAACTAGGAACTAGGGGTATAGTCATCATGACTGCAAAACAGAATCTTCATTCAAACACAGGACCACAAGAAGATATCTCAATGTGTAAGATCTCCTTCTCCCACAGGCATAAGCTCCATCAAAACATTCAGGACTATTCTGGATAATTTTTTTCACCGCCCCAAATGCAATCTGCAAGCCTGCCAGCACCAAAAGCTCTTACTAAGGACTCTCACTCATTTTTAAGACCTATCCTATTCAATCTGTTTGTGAGTCCAATACTATTAGAACTATAAACTCACTTGCCAACTGTCAACATGACCTCAAGAAAGCCAAACCAGACAAGTGGACTTGCAGAGGCATCGAAACACAGCTACCATTGCACATCTTAAGAAAAGCAGGACAGGATGAACGTATTGCAATACTTTTCAATTTGCAGATAAATGGCATGATATTCAAGCATTAACAACCGGCTGGAGCAGTATCAGCCTCAGCTGGCCCCCCAGTTTTGGAGGGAAAAGCGCTAGGCTCTGCTAATACATGGCAATATAAAGTACAGCTGTTTGAGACAGGGCTGGTCAAGCGTTGCATGCCTGCAGCTGTATTGCTCTTCCTCGCCCAAGCAGGTTCACTCAGGGCTCTTGAATTTGCCACGCCTACATAGCCCATGTCTTTGTCATTTTATATGACTTCCAGTTAAACATATTTTATCTGCTTTTCTTGTATGAAAGTACTCACTACACAGTTTTATGACAGCCTACTGATTGAAGAACTACTTCCTGGATTAGGAAATATGGATTAGGAAAAAAGGGCATGATGAAAGCTAGTTGAAATAATCCATCTTTGGTTAATTCCACCAGCTACTCACCCATGCCCTCTTCTAGGTCTGTTTTTTTCTACAATAATCATGGATTACTGCTGATACAGTATTATCTGTAGCATTTTAGATCATTCCTTTGGGACCTCAAATGACTTTGTATTCTCTCATTTTAATTATACATACACAGCATAATGTAGGGATTTGGAGATAAGAAGGCACGAGGCCTTGGGCTGCTTTATTACATAAGAAAGAACAAACACTGACTTATTTATTACCTAAACAAGAACACTGAAAAGAAGTAACATAGTAAAAATCAGTGTCCAAGTGGACTGTTCTTTGGATCCATCTGTACACACTCCCTTGACTGTTCCCATTCTGTTCACGCACAGCATCTCAGGCTTTGCCAGCTATGGACACTTCCAGGGCTCTGACCTGTGATCAAAGAACAGTGAAGTGAAGCACAGAGCAAAAATACCTGTGCTTTTCAGAGAGCGTAGTGGGATGCTGCGTGTACTGCGGGTTGAGAGACCTCTGCAATTACAACTTCCTTCGTGGCAATTTTGTATCTTAGCATGTCATGCCAGCAGAATAATCTTGACCATCACAACGAACTCTGAAATATCCTTTTTTCTGCATGCGGTTCGGTGCACATAACTAAAGAAAAACCCCTCTCACCATCAAGTCTGTCATGATCTATGGAAAAACAACTGGGATGCACCAAAAAGACAAAAAAAAAAAGGAAAACCAGGAGAAAAGGAAGTTAGCAGTAATACTGAAAAAGTATGTCCTCAAGGCCTCTGCCCCACTCCTGTGTAATGTCATCCAGAAAACAGGCTGCAGAGCAGATGCTGATTTAACAAGAAAAGAAACCAAAATTATGTTTCACAGCTGTGAGTGGCAGGGAACAAGGGAGATGTGAGGGCCTGATTGTCATGTTGGTACCGCCTAATTAAAAACTAGTAGTTATTACTCTCATTAGGCATGCTCCGTGAAGCCAGTTAAATACTGTTTTCTGAAACTGAAGTACTCTGTTCTGACTTCACGTCACCTCTAAGTGCTAGACAGTCAGATCTAGAAAGCTGCCTGAATGTACCATTCAGAAGAGCCTGACATCCTCCAGCTACTGCACGTGAAGCAGAAGTCAAACCCTCAGAGATGGCCACAGTATAGAGGAGCATCACTACTCTACTAAGGCTGAGCACTTATCTCTGTTTAAAAGGTTACACAACCTGTTAAAAAAATCCATATTCACTGTTTCTGTTGCAATCTGCTGAGCCTCCAGTGCACCTGAAATGAATTCAGAGGCCTAATCATTTAAGGAAAATAAGTTAAATCCTTGCCACATTCTCCTCACAATTTTTATAAAAGGCATTGGAAAAAATGCCTGATTAGTTTAACTATTAAAAAGTGTGTCTTTAGTCTTTCTCAAACACATTTCAAACATGTACGGCCTCCCTGCTCTGCTGAGGAAGCAGTATTTTGAAAAATAAGGACAGATCTTCTGAATCCATGTTGACACAAGTTAAGGAGATGAGTTAAACAGGTTAAGCATTGAAGTGCCTTAAGATTTGGACTTTGCTGACAAGTGGGGTTTCAAGTAGTCTGCTATTACAGAAACAAGAGAGCTCAAGGTGACAATCCCCATGGCCACTGAAGTTAACTTGTGAATTGCAATCCTGACACCATCGGACTCAAGAGAAAACTGCGACCAAGGACCACACAGACCCTACTTCTGCAGCGAGAGGAAGGAATTTTGTCCTGAATTCGGAATTCCTTATTTAGCAATAACATCTCAAAGTGCCTTAACATCCAGAGGCAGGCACTGATTTTATTTCAAAAGCATAGCTGTGGAAGTGATCGTTAATTAAAACAAGGGAAGATGAAAGTAAGCGGGTGGAATGGTACGATGTGACTGACGATATTCACAGATGTCCTTAGCAGTGGAACGAAATGCAGTGACAGGCAAGTGCGTGGCTTGATCCTTTGCCCAAGGCACTCCTGGCCTCTGAACACACAGTGTGCACATTTTCAGGCTCTTACAGGGTTTTCTTCTGTAATACCATAGAGAGAGGGATGACTTCAGCTAGGTCATTCTCCATCTTAGTTTCCTGAAAATAGTTGCACCTGTAAAACCACAGACTAACTAGCGGATTACAGTGCAGCCCAGCCTATCAAAGGTAGGACAGAAATGAAGCAGCAGTAATCTGAGGTGACAAATACTCAGTTTTCTTCCTGCAAGTGATGTCTAAATCCTGACTAGTATTTCTATCCATGTTACACTATTTTCACAGAAATCCAATAATTTACACCATGCACACACAGTTTCACATACTGAATAATTTTTTAACATCAGATATTGCAACAGAAAAGCAGGAAAAACAGGTCTTTTTAACATCTGTACATCTCTTTGATGTCTCTACAGTACTTCATTAAAGATTTAGTCCCATAAAGCTTTTACAAAGACTGCATTAACAATAATCCACATGGGGGATTTAGACAGGGTTAATTAATATTCTGAACCAAAGAGTAGTACAACAATGTGACAGGATGAGTCTTACTGTATCTTAATTTCATTATCTAAATGGGGACTACAGATAACCATCAGATTTCTATCCAGCTGGAGAAGAGACCATCCCTGCGACACGCTTAGACACGGAGAAATGCAGAAATGCAAAACACTATTACTCTGACTCAGCTGACTCTCTATACAGCTATGAAGTACAGATGGCTTTTAAGTCAAAAGGTGACCATATTATTAATTTATTTTCAAATCATCTTAAGCACACACTGCAAAAAATGTGATTGTCCTGTGAACAGAGCAGAGCTAAAAAAAAATCTACCTAAAAGCCAACTGTCGAAGTTTCATGAGTGGCCTCTGTCAAATACTACTGGATTCTTTCCTTCTTCAATTTCACCACTCATTGCAATTCAGGAAAAAAATTAACTCAAGCCAATTTACAGCACCACTTTGCATCTGACCCTCTGCTTTAGACAACAAAGCAAACTCTCAGAGGTGACTTACACGACTACACTTCACTTGCTCATTTCAGCATTTCCTATACTTTGTTATTGTGTAAAAGACCTAGGCAGAGACAAAGCAAAGCTCCCCAAATAGCAACATCAGGAAACTATAAAGCCAATCAATCAGATACAAAAAAGTATCAGGTGCACAAGGTGGACATATGAAAAGAGAAATTATTTCTCCCTTTTAAGGTCTTAACCGTATTATTTTTAACAAAAGACCATAAAACATTTTTCATACAGCAGCTTGACTTTAAAAATTAATTAGAGATGTGCCAAAAAAGCCTAAAACATAGTGACAGCACAATACACTTCAGCGAGCTACATCTAGGTGCTTTGCATTTCGATAAAACTTCTCCTGGGAGGGTGTCCAAGTAGTTAAAAGGGGGAAAAAAAAAATCAATTAATTAAGGCCGTTGAATGAGGAAGGTCTGTATGAAGTTAATACTCTGGCTTATAAAAAGTAAAATGTTCATCTGAGGACAAACACTAACAAATAATGAAAACCCCCGGACTTCCTGGTTTACAACCTGTTCACTCAGCTAACAGTTTTACTGTATCACCCAAGACAAACAGCTATAATATGAACTGCACGTTCCAGCTGCTCTATACAAACTATAAACTTACCACTCAGCAGAACACGAGCTGTTCCTGGAACTTTCAGTATGAGACCAGGGACAACGGGATCACTCCCATTCATGAAGTGACTCCTGAGCACAAGAATTTGCAGGGCTTGGGGAAAGCACCAGTGAGGAACGCAAGGCAACAAGTGCTCAGGCGCTCCGTGCTTCTGCAACGTGCCACTACCAGTCAGCGGTGTGACCTGCTGACTAACAGCACGGTAAGGCATACACACAGTCCTGGGCAGCTGGTGCAGAGGTTTAGCGGTTACTCTCCTACATCTTTTCCTCCGGGTACATGTCTGGAAAAATACCCGGAGCAACAGAATATTCACAACAGCTAGTTGGAAGGACAAAACTCCCATTTGTTAAGCATGGCTGATCATTGCGCAGGTGTGTTTTCACAGCAAAGGCTGCAAAATTCCAGTGTAAGCAACAAGACTTCTTATCCTCCAGAGCAGCTGTACTTTAAAAATATAAATATACTGCACCTCTACGTCAGTTTGCTAATAGTCTATCAGTACTTTAAAAATACTATCCTGTTTGTGGTCCTAAAGACACATGCACAAGAGAAAAGGAGGCTATTCACGTTCCTGTTGAAAGAGTTACTGAATTAAACTTCACAGATTATTTTACACAAAAAGGAAAAACTAAGACACAAAAGGAACTTACTCAAGACCACAACCCTTGCCAAGGGAAGAGTCAGGATAATCTTTGCCCAGTCATTTGACCATTGACTCTCTGAAAGTTATTGAAAGCATCACTACTTCTCTGTATGTTATACGGAAATCCATAGGTATCACAATAAATAAAAAAGCTCTCAGTAGTGCAAATGTCTGTCTACTCTAGTATTTTACCCTTCGTAACAAAGTGTTTTATTTTGAACTTGTTAACAACGTACATTAAATGCACAGACAAACAAACAAACAAAAAGTACCTGGTGAGCTCTTCTTTAATCTTCAAGGGTTCATGTGGGTAGAATTTCACTCTAAAGCACATGGTATATGGTGGATGAGCTGAAACACGATAAAGAAAAAGCATGAGAACAGTAGCACACAAACATTGTCTGAGCAACTCTGAAGGAGTGGCTTCCAAGAGTCTTACAAAGTAGTCTGTGTGATGGTTAGCTCTGAAGTATCAGGCAGGGATTCAAACAAAACCAATTAATGTTATATATACACACGAAAAGAACAGAACACATGACAGAGAAGGCCAAAACACATGCAAAATACAGGTAACCTGTGGAAATCAATGTATAAATGGTTTTGCACCTCACAAGACTTATTGTACAGAACACATTTCAGCTGCTCTTTTTTTTTTTTTTTTTGGCAATCGATAATCAGGAAGCAATTGCATCTTGTCACAATAAGATACAAAGGTGTTATGTATATTTGTTATTCATGATAATGATAATGCTTAGACTATAAAAATGGAAGAAACCATTAATTAAATTTGGTTAATGAAGCTAAAGAAATGAGGAAAGGAGGAAAGGAAGAAAGGAGGGAAGGAAGGAGGGAAGACAAAGAAAGAGAGAAAAGAAAGAGAGAAAGAAAGAAAAGGAAGAAAAGAAAAAAGAAAAAAGAAAAGGAAGAAAAAGAAAGAAAAGAAATGAAAAGAGAGAAAATCACAATGACAGGTATGATTTCAATTCTGCAATCAGTGCCTCTTGGTTTTACATTAATGAACACAGCTTTATTAATTCATTAACTATTTTTTTTAATTCATAGTAAAGTGCAGATCTATAATATTCTAGCTAGTTTTAAAAGCCCCATAGTCTTAATGTATACTCAATGCACACCAAGATCAATCTAACCTTCCTAGATCTTGAAGAGATGGTAATTTTAAAGGAGGAAAAGAAGGGAAGGCAGAAGAAAGGGGCAAAGAGAATTACACAGAAAATGGAGGAAGAGAACAGGTGAAACAGAGAATTACATTTTAGTCACTGCAATCTGTAACACTAATCACTAAGTTACCAGAACATTTTACTGTACCATCTCCTCAAGCTTACTAGTTCACTGGCTTGTATAAACTGCATGTGGAAATCAGTTCAATAATCATGACATTCTTGAAGCTACTTTTGACTGAAGTATTTACATTTATGCTGCAGTTTTCCAGAAACACATCTCTGGATATCACATAGTTCCATGTGATGTACAAAAGCAACACAAAATAAAAATGCATTACATCTTTTGTTATGGTTGGTATCTTTTGGAGGGTTCAACTGCTTTTGAAATTGAAGGAATATTTTCCCCTCTCAAGACCTCATGTTGCACGTTTTTAAGTACAGTCAGCCTCAACAAAAACTTTTGATTTCACATTTTTTCACTTGTTTAAATAACTACTCATTCAAGACACAAGGAGGAATGTCAGAAGAGATGGGGATGGAGACATGAAAAATACAGAAAAAAAAAGAAAGCAAGGAAACAGTATCAAATAGAAACAAACAAGAGGAAATGGAGAACGAAAAACAAGCCTGAAGTGTTCTGTAGGGATGGTCTGAACATTCAGTCTTATCAAATCTGGACAAGCCCTCTGAAGACAAGAGAAACACTCAGACTGCTTTCTGTGGGCTTCGGCTTCTTGGATGTGACTGCAGCATTGTCTTACAGTGACTGGAAACAGGCTGGAAAACAGGGGACACTGTTATGTCCTCCCTGCCCTGTAATGGCAAACTAGAAGGTAAACTGAATTCAGTGTCCCAGAAAGGAAAACAGCCATCCAGCAATGCACTAAGGAGTCACATTGCCTGGACAAAGCAAAAGATAACATAAGTCATCTTAAACAGTTATGACTCAATAGCCTTCTTAAAACTATACAAGGGAGAAAAACTTGCACTTTCAGAATACAGTTCCCCTCACAAAACGAGACAGAAGACCCAATCTGAATTAAATGAGCAAGAGCTCTTCCTCAGCAAAATAGGACTTTCAAATGTCCTGGCAGATGTGGAAGCAGTTTGTGTTTGAAATAGTGATGGAGAAATAAGAAAAGCTAGAGCATGGCTCCGCAGGGCCCTAGGTAGTACCAGCCTACTGCAAGACCCTAAAATAGTATGGAACTTTACCCAAATTTTTGGATGTTGATGACTGAAACTTTGGCTGTGGTAAAAAGAAAGAAAGAAAAAAATATGTAAAAGTTACAGTAGAAGAGCCACACTCTGGCAGTACGTGGCAACCACAGGAAAGCAACAGTTGCCCCACATGTGAAGAGTATTATAGTGAGGAAAGGATGGCATACACCGCACCAAAAAACAGCCCACATTCAGTTAATAGCCAAGGTTATAATAGGAAATGTTTTCCTTGTAGCAGAAGGACAGAACATGACAGAAGTATACACCAATGCAGAGAATGCGCAGGAGATTTGACAAGGCAGGTTGAAGCCTACTTTGCAAATCTTTTCCTAGACTCAAGCTTCTGTAACAACATTCCTTCTCAGCAGGGCAGCAAGCAATATGAAACAAGGCTGCTGCAGCCTGCTAAACACAGGTCCTGTCTCAGCAACACCTCCAAGAATGGCACAAATCCTGACCTGCAATTTGAAATGTTCAAACGAATATGATCGCCTCCATCCAATTAATCTCTGGAGATGAGATATAGAAGGTACCCTGCAATTACAAAAGGAAACAGGATCCTCTTTTTCTCTTCCTTTTTCCCAGTTAGAAAACCAGCCACAAATAATGAACACTTGAAAGAGGAAGGAGGGAACCCCCGCAGTTACCTGCTTTCCTCTCCATCTTCATTTTAAAATGGATCATAAGCCTAATGTTCCTCCAAAACCACATTTTATGATGTGTAAACATTTAGTAAGGCCTTTATCTTACAGATTTTACAGCACTGGAGAAACACACATGAGAACCTCATATTCTCTCATTCACTATATTCTTTTAGTGGAAAGCAAGACAGGCAGCAAATTGTATCAGCTCAAGAGATGAGACTGTCAAACCAGAAAATTCCTCAATTCCTTGAAAGCAAAATTATTTTCTACCACTTATTCACACATTAAAGCTGAAACATTAACAACAAACCTTCCCAAAACAGAACTCAATTTGCAGAAGAACATTTCAACACAAAACTAGCCTGAATATAATCAGTTTTATAATAGCTATAAGCCTTTTCTTTCAGAGTGGTCCTTTATCTGTCAGATAAGGAGCAGCTGGTACAGTGAAATGCCCAAGGCTTTGTCAGAATTTCCTACCATCACAGGCTTTGCTTTCGCACTGAAAAAGATTCACAATTACAATAATTTCAAAGGATTTTAGCATGGAAAATAGTACTGACTGCAAACTCCATTGCAACAGGGCTATTAATTTTCCAGTTCATGTGGTAACAGCACATAAGAGATGAAGGCAAAAGAACAAATAAAACCATTTAAATGACATCAAATGCTGAAACCAGGCATGATCTAGACCCTCCTGAAGGAACTACACACACAGCGTGGAAGGTTTCCAGGCAACTGATTGTATGTTTTCAAGGTTAATTTCAGTTGCATTTAACTAAGACAAACTATGCAACATACATGAAATAGTAAGGATCTCCTAGATAAAAAACAAACCTGTAACACCCTGACCAGAACAAAGAGGGGTATGGGAGCTGCACCCCTTGACACAGATACCAATGTGTAAGGGACCACATCTCACATGAATTCACTTTTAAGCAAAGCCCACTGAATCATTTGTCTTCTGTGTAGATGAAGAGCTTATAGGGAATGACAAGCCTGAGGAAAACTACAAATTCATATTACCATTTTCTTCATAAGGAGACAATCTGAAACAATAAGAAAAAAATAATTATGTAAGAGAAAAAAAAATTTTTAAAAGCTGGTGAAAAACTTGATTGAAGTTTTAGAAGTGTGAATTAAAGATGGAGAAGGATGGAAGTTTCTCAGCTGCCACTTTTGGGAAGGTTTCCTGTTTAACAACCTGCTTTTCACCCAGCACAAATACTAACTTCTGTAATGAGCTGTACGGGAGTGTTGGCTTTTTTGATTAAAAACAGAGTACAGAGTGATATTGAAAGCCAGAACCAGATGTTTAAATTATCTTCATAGCCCTGAGAATGCAACACTGCAGAAAACTTCCTGCATCTCTCCTTGATGCTACTTATCCTCTGAACTACACTAACCTAACAAAAGTTAGTGGTCATTTGAAAAAAAAAAAAAACAACCAACCAAAAAAACAACAACCCAAACACATTGCACTCAAAGAGTCTTCATGTTCACTGATGCTGCAGAAGGACCTCTGGGGAACCCTAAGACATATGCTGTTGTTTCCATACACCTCCTCCCTTAAGAAATGAATCAGCTGTTTATCCATACCACTTGCTGAGTGTGTTTAAGACAGACAGAACACTACTCAGTGCTTTTATTTTATGCATAAGAGATACCTGAGCTATTATAAACCTCAAATTATGGGGTATTCCTCATCGCACTCAATTAGTTATGGGACAACACAAGGCAAGGTGGATTTTCATGAACTAGTTGTAGTACCACTTTACAGCGGGTTACTAAATCTACATGAGGATCATAGGTAAAGAATACACAGCATTTGGATTCGTGCTTGAAGAATCACAGAAAACTTCCTGTTTTCACTGCGCATGGATTTATGAACCTCATATTTGATTAAACTCTTTTTCAGATTTGCACTGAGACACGAAAACTGGTGACAGGTTTGTTGAGATTTAAGAATCTTTAGAAAGTTTTCCACAGCCCATCTCGACATCTGGATTCTTGTTTCCCCTATTTCATTCCATCTCCGTTCACATTTTATGACAGCATTAGAGATTAAGGAAATTAACATAACAAATTCCAATGGCCTGACACGGGAGAACATCCTTTTTGCATTATTTTCTCAGATCAACTGAGATGCAAGGCAGCAAGGCACAGACCTGCAAATTTTGAACTCCTGCACATCTGAGCAACAGAATTGATTCTGTTCCACTGTCTTCAAGAATAAAACCCATATAGTTGGGTATTTCCCAGCAAAGCTGGTTACAGGATAACTGCATACTTATTATTATACAGAATAACCTTTAAAATTAATGCAAACAGAGAGAGGGAAACTGCATGGGAAAACGCTGCTCTTTACTTAAACATTAGTGCTGATGTGACCAGTAGGATTTACACCAAGACATTCCTAGGCAGAAAATAAGTAAAAAAATGTAAGATGGCCAAATGCAGAGGAACTTTACTGTCAACATCTGGGAGAGAATAACAGTGTACACAAAAACATGCAAAAGAAACAAAAAACTGGTTTTAAATGCCGTTATCTAGTCCTACGAAGATGCAGCTGCCTCAGGCAACCTTCCAGAGAGTTTTTCAACACATTGTTGGAAACACGGTGCTCACAGCTACTGACCATTGGCCACCAACTGGCTTCAACAAGTACAAATGAGACTGGCAGTGATTCAGGACATTTCTCAGAGACTAAGATTTCCTCTCTCAAGCAAAATCAGTAGTAAAAATGGCTGAGGCACAGACCTAGGCCTCACGCATCATGTTATACACTTCATTTCAGCGAAGATGGAAAATGCAAAGGTAGATGCTGAGACAAAAAAAAGAGGCCATGCCTTCATTCTTCCTCTGTTGCACCAGGACACATTTGAATATGGTTTCATATGTGATAAGACAAAATATAAAATATTTTGGAAGATTCCTTCTGTCATATCCCAGTATTACTAAATATGAACTTAAAGCAATCTTTGCCAAAGCTAAAGTGGTAGCGCATCACACAAGAACGGATGCAGACTTCAGAGCTTCAAACATACAACATTCTATCCCACCGACAGAAATGCATAGCTGACAAATTGTGCTTTCTGTACAACCTGACTACATAGATGGATCACCCTGAGTGACTCATGTACTACTGAGGCCCATGAAATCTATTACCTACTACAATTTGTATTAGAACACTACTGCCAGTCATTCATTTTCTGCTCTGAATATTTGTCAATAATGAGCTGCATGAACAAATACACCAAAAAAATAGTTACTGTTCTGGGGAAAAATGAAGTTCCCCACAAACTGTAGCTGACACAAAGCATGCCTCATTTTTCAAATTTTGCTTTATGTATGCAAGCACTCTGTAATCCTATGTAAATCTGAGTATTCAACCGAATTGAGAACATTTTGCATCATTGGTATTAATATAACCTACTTTTGCATCAGAAGAAATGGAAGTCTATTCTTACAAAACAGATCATTTCCCTGTTTCCTGAATTCCTTAATGGCAAAGAAAGAAAATGAAACCATCTAATACTGTCACTGCGAATAGCTTTCTGCCACGATTTCTTCCAGAAGTCATATAAATAATGTATGTTCTATTAACCAGGCACTTCACTGCTTCAGTTTTCACTCTTTTTTTTTTTCCTCAGTTGTGTCACCTGAGACTGCAATGCTTTTCAAATGAATACTGATAATTTCTTATTCTGAGCCTAAGCCTTTTCATAGTAAACAATAATTTTAGATGAAATACTAATTAACCTTGTGTGTCTTTAGAAATTGTTTAGTGTTCTACATTAATATAGCATATTTTTATAAAAATAAAGCAAGAGGTTCCAGACGTCAAATGGTTACAAAAGCATCCTTGAAACCTGTGGTAGCAAAAGATAAATTTATGCATAATCTACATGGATTCTACACATGCATATAAAATGTATATCTATCTCCTCCTTGTTTCATTTCCTTAAAAGGTTATTGTAGCAACTAAAGGTCGTCTTCTGTGACAAAAGATGAAGTTAAGTTATACTAGTATTAAACTGAAGTTGCTCATCAAAAGCCAATCACATAGTTAATTCTAGTTCTATGTCCTAAATCTAAGGCTGATAAGAAAACACCTTTGTTAGTGTCTCATTCTCTTTTGCTGCTGTTGTTGAGACCCTTTCACCATAATAAATAACCTCGTACTAGCTGCATTTTAATTTGTTTTTTTTCTGTGCATTCATTTTTCAATCTTCAGAGTTTTGATTAGGATTCTACCCCAAAAGCCACACAAGTCCTCTGATAAGACCATCACATCACTACATCTATGGAATTTATGGAGTACCATCGATCACATCTAGGCAACATCTATATGCAGATAGAGTTGTTTTGAATAAATCAAAAGACTCTCAGTGCGTGTATCTGTTGGCAGAGTTCCTGAATATGTTGCTATGCAAAGTGCAAAAAGAAGTATTCGCCCCTTCACTTTATTGGGCAAAAGCAGTGATACAAATGCAGATTAGAGGATATTTTGAGGGAAAAGGTGTTCTACTTTTGGTAACACATTGGAAGGAAGAAAGAGATAAAGATAATTTGTATTTATTACAGTCCCTCTTTTCTTCCTTCACTAGCACCGCAGAGGAGCACAACTTAGTTTTAGCTTGACATTCTTGAACTTAGTTTTTACTGGGTAACACTCCAGCTACCTAAACACTAGCTATAAACAGTTCACACTGAATATGCTAGGTATATGTGTGCATGCTTATATACACATGTGTGCACATGTTGCAATATATACTATTGCTGCATTAATGGAAGAATTTCTTGAAGTATTCCGTGTGGTCCAGCCAACACCCGGGATTACCTGTTCTTACATATTGGACAATCTCTTAAGGCTCATCACATTTTAAAATACACTGTTTCTGACAGAAAAGACACCTTATGCTTAAAACAGGAAACAACTGCATTCAAAGGGTACGTGAGAAAAATCTCCTTCATTTCATATACTAAGTAGATAGACAGACAACAGCTTTTATTAAAGCCACAACTCCCAATGGCCTAAATCAAGTCTCCAGAACTGCCAAATAAAACATTCCCTTCCGCTGCTGGATATAAACTTCTGAGTACCGAAGTAGCTCCGCTTCCTGAATAAGTCTTCACAGTTGGCCCATTTAATGGAAAGGATGAGCCAGACCATAACATTTCAAAAAGATAATTAAAATAGTACATTCCTATTTTGAGGAGTCCTTTTAAAATAACAATCGTAATTTTCCACTTGCCTGTGGCAGGAGCTCACCACTTAAGACTGCCACACTCCATAGCCTATTGCCTTCTCCCAGTGGCTGGTTGTGTCTGACGGAAAATGAGAGGCAGAACATACAGGTCTTCCCACCAGATCTGCCACCCCCACACACATCAGCTGGCCTCTGGCTCCACCTTCAACAGTAAGGGAAAGCTCTTGATGTGCAGAGAGCACTGTGAGACAGTGAAATGAGCATAGCGTGGAGTTTTTAGGAGTCCAGATAAGACGTGAAGGGCATATTTGCACCAGGAAACAAATGAAGCATACTCTAAATTACTGCATGGAAGCACAGGAAAACCTTTGGGCATTTCAAAAGCAGTTTAAACACATGACCTCTCAACACTTACATTTCATTTGCTTGAAGATGGACTTGTTGGGCTCAAGCCAGTGCTGGAAAGGCAAAGCAGAGAGCAGAGGTTAATATGGATCACAGCAGACAGCAACATCCTTGTAGATGTATATCGTACCAAACATCGGAAGTACGACTTTTGTTTCACTGAGACATACATAAACTGGAAAAAGCACCTCCATACTGTTATAATACTGGAACTGCACTGTAGAAGCATACTTGATGCTACTACTGTTTATAAGATGTCGTTGAGACAAAAATAAGACAAATATTTCAAAGACAAATTTAAAGGAGACAAGTTGTAGTGATTAGTTTGCAGCAGACATTTCAGTCTTACACTTTCAGCTATTTTTTTCCAGAAGAATGATCATATTGGACAGTAGGACAAACTGTTCAGAAACATTAACATCGTCTGTTCATTAATGCTGTCTTCTACAGTTCTTATAACCAAAGCATGTGCAAATACCCTATTCTCAGTCAGCACCCTCAGAACACAAGCTATTGTTCTCTTTTAGCAAGAACTAAAAATCTGAAGGGAAAAAGAATGTACTTCTCCATGGAATGTTTATGCTACAGACAGGCAGTGCACAACAGAGAGGTATGGATGCCTACCAGTTCCTATATAACTTTCCAGGGAAAGACTGCAATGGCAGGAAAACTTTTATTTTTTTATTCTCCTGGAAAATAAACTCAGATGCTTCTGTGACGAAAAGCTAGGCTCACATTTTAGTTAAGAGCCTTAGCACATCCCCTGCTCACACAAGCTGAACTGTTCAGGAGGATGTTTTTGTTGACAAAAGAACATGCTGATATTCAAGTGCCACTTCTGACCACAGCCAACAGCATTTGTACTAAGATTTTTCCTGTAAGCAGAAAATCTCCACACTAATATGAGATTTATGCTGCAGAAGCAGCTGGTCAAAAAGCAAAGTATTCAGTTTTAACAAGCACAATCAACACTAAGGGGTTTCATTTTTAACCCTTTTCATTCTAGCTCTAAAACCCTATAATCTACTGCAAAAAGAAAACCTAGCATTTTTTAAACCATATGTAATACTTAAAAAATCCTACATCAGCTACTATTTTTCCTCATAACTTACAGTAATTCTACTACAGAGAAAGGCCAGGGGAAAATATTTCATAGGAATTGTTCGTAGATGACAGAAAATTATTATTTTAAAAATCATGACGTCTCAAGTATTCAGTGAAAATCAGGGGTACCCGTAAATTAGTTTTCTGGAAGAGAACTACTGACAAAACAAATATTTTGGAAAGAACATCTTCAAATATCTGCAGCTTATATGCTACGGCTGCTCAGAAACTCTTGCATATAGTTTACAGCAATACTGGAGATAAGCACTACTATGTATTTCTGTTTGAAGCTCGCTTATCACTGAGACACTGATATGGAACCCTGGTACCCAAAAGACAAACAAAACAAAAAGCCAACAACCCCAAACTTCAAACAACAACAACAACAACCCCACACCATTTCTTCACCTCTTCCCTCTCCCCAGTATCTCTCTTTTGGGGGGAAAAGAAGAAAGAAACAGGATTGAGAAAGCAATGACTGTTGCATCAACTTAGCAGAAATATCTAGCTCATGTAATTCTTTTTTAGATCACACAGACACATTATTTCTACATTTTGCTCTGAATAACTGGGGTTGAGGGTTCTTGATAAAAAGGTAAGGCAATTTAAGAAGTGTGATACAGTCTGAAGTGCTTCACAGATCCATAACCCAGAATGAATTCACAGATAGGAAACCAGTCAAGGCACACAGATATGCAAGTTTACCTTCCTTAACCTCTTCATGTGCCCAGCCCACCTCCACCAGGATCTAGACAGTCCTAGCTGAAGTTTCAGATAGTTCCAAGAGGAACTTGGACAGTAAGCCATGCTGTGCTGTTCCCAGAGAACTGGGAGTTAAGAGGTATCTCACTCTTTTCATCTACCAGGAGCACAACACAATTTGTTTGATTTTTCTTTTGGAAAGGCCAGGCTGAAATATTAGCATAGACCAGGTCAGTGTTTACAGCTGTTTGAAAAGTCAATTACCTATTCTAACAAAAAGTCAGAGGTTAAAAAAAGTCAATCTGCAAATACGAAACCCTCATAATTCACCACATGAATAATGAAAAAGGGGAAACATGGGTGAAATTCCTCACACAGTGCACCAAACCCCCAGGAATGCAGATTTAGCCATCATGTCCAAAAGCTAATGTGTTTCACTACAACCTGACTTTCACGGGTTAAAAATGGATTGAAAAGACACTGAGCAATTACGCAGTCTAGACTTTCACTTGGAGGTCAAGGAACTGACAGGCAGATTTTAGAAGCTCAGATTTCTGTGGTGACCTTCTGTTGGTGGAAGACTGCAAATGTGTAGACAATTCAGCTGAATCTTCCAGAAAACCGAGCAGTTACTTTACAATTTGTGGAGATTTTCAAAGACACAGCAATTAGGTGCTTAATGCTCTCTGAGTGTCAGGGGAAGATAAACACCTAGTCATCCCTAGTACTTCTGAAAATAGCCACCCCTATATTTGTTTGCATATTTCAATTTGAGTTTTAGGAAAGATCTTCCCCTGAGTACTTATCTTCCAGCCTTAGAGCATTGACTATTAATAATTAATAACTATGCCTCATCTCTATTATAGAGTACTCATGCTATATTTATTCCGAGATTAATTAGCTGTTATAGCTAGGACCAGATTAAGGTTCCCATAAATTCATCGAAGGGTTTCTGCAGGAATTTTCAATTGAAAAGCATTTCAAAATGCTTTTTCCATTTATCAATTTTTTTTAAACAATTTTGCTGAAAAAGAAAAAAAATCCTTGGATGAAAGGAAAATATAACATTTCGAGTTAGCTTGTCAGGTCAAATTTTAAAAGCATTTTAAATCTTCAACTGCAAAAATATTTCATTACACACTGCCTTGCGGAAACAGACCATAGGTGTTTCCAGTTCTTTCTTGTAAGGCTAACACCTCATAAGACAAACAAATCAAACAAACCAAACAAGTCAGACATAAACTTAGAACCAGAGACGAGAATCTTTAAGTTCTCTCCTGACAGTAAAATGTGCAAACTAGGTGGACAAAAAAAAAACAAAACCAAACAATCTTATACAGTTTCAGTTTTGCCTTACGTATTTCACACTGTTGTCCATAAAAATTTCTTTAATTAGATGATGGCCTACACTGTCAAACTAGCTTGGCTTTACATGTGGTAGTACTTAATGAACATCAGAAGTCATTCCTGCAGAGCCTGAGCCTCCCGCTTCCTTGGTGGCATATTAGCAACATGGTTGTTGCCCAATGGAGAAGAAAAGACTTCAATCATATTTGAGAAGTTGTGGCAGGGTGGTGAAGGTCCCACTGACTCGAAAAGGGGAAATATAACCCCCATTTTCAAAAAAGGAAAAAAAGGAAAACCTGGAGATCTACAGGCCAGCCAGTCTCACCTCTGTCCCTAGCAAGATCATGGAGCAGATCCTCCTGGAAACTCTGTTAAGGCACATGGAAAATAAGGAGGTTATTGGTGACAGCCAATATGGCTTCACTAAGGGCGGATCATGTCTGACAAATCTGGAGGCCTTCTGTGACAGCTGTTGGTGAAAAAAGGAAGAGGAACTGACATCATCTACCTGGACTTGTGCAAAGCATTTGACAATGTCCCGCATTACATCCTTGTCTCTAAATTGGAGAGACATGGATTTGACCAACGGACCACTTGGTGGATAAAGAACTGGCTGGATGGTCACACTCAAAGAGTTGTGGTCAATGGCTTGATGTCCAAGTGGTGACCAGTGACAAGTGACATTCATCAGGGGTCAGTATTGGGACCAGTGCTGTTCAACATCTTCGTCGGTGACATGGACAGTGGGATTGAGCGCACCCTCAGCAACTTTGCTGATGACATCAAGCTGTGTGGAGCAGTGAACACACTGGAGCAAAGGGATGCCATCCAGAGGGACCTGGACAGGTGAGCCCGTGCCAATCCCATGAAGTTCAACAAGGCCAAGTGCAAGGTACTGCACCTGGGTCAGGGCAACCCCAAGCACAAATACAGGCTGGGTGGAGAACGGATTGAGAGCAGCCTGAGGAGAAGGACTTGCGGTGTTGGTGGATGAGAAGCTCAACATGAGCCAGTAATATGAGCTCGCAGACCAGAAAGCCAGCTGTATCCTGGCCTTCATCAAAAGAAGCGTGGGCAGCAGGTCGAGGGAGGTGATTGTGCCGCTCTACTCCACTCTGCTCTTGTGAGATCCCACCTGGAGTACAGCATCCAGCTCTGGAGCCCCAACATGAGAAGGGCATGGACCTGTTGGAACAAGTCTGGAGGAGGGCCAAAAAGATGATTAGAGGGCGGGAGCATCTGTCCTATGAAGACAGGCTGAGAGGGCTGGGGTTGTTCAGCCTGGACAAGAGAAGGCTCTAGGGAGACCTCCCAGTACTTAAAGGGGCCTACAGGAAAGATGGGGAGGGACCCCTATCAGGGACTGTAGTGACAGGATGAGGGGGAACGGTTTTAAACTGAAAGAGGGTAAATTTCGATTAGATACTTGTAAGAAATTCTTTACTCTGAGGGTGATGAGATGCTAGAACAGATTGCCCAGAGAAACCGTGGATGCCCCATTCCTGGAAGTGTTCAAGGCCAGGCTGGATGGGGCTTTGAGTAACGTGGTCTAGTGGAAGGTGTTCCTGTGCATAGCAGGGGGGTTGGAACTAGGTGATCTTTAAGGTCCCTTCCAACCCAAGCCATGCTATGATGATTCTATGATTCTAATCCAGCTAACACATATTAGCAAGGACCCTGTGAGGAGATTTATGTTCAGCACTGCCAATTTCTAATCTTTTCTGCCAAAAGAGGTCTGGGAAGCAGCTGGGTATCTAGATTGTCAGGCAGATGCCCTCACTGAAACAAAAAGCAGACAGAAAGATACTTAGACATCTTGAAGGTCAGTGATGGGATAGCTAACGAGTCTTGGTGCCTCACGTGCCAGTGGTGAGTAAGCAAACTATTATGGATATCACTT